ATTATTTTTACTTATTTCCAACTTTATATTTTCGTTAATTTTGATAATTGACTTTTGATTGGAATCTCATAAGACTTCCGATTGGAATCTCATAAGACTTCCAATACTTTCTGAATGATTCTAAACATAGTTTTACTTCAAATCTCATAAAACTATCTTGTTAGAACTCAACACTCAAATTCATATATTATTTAATAATATTCATTTTTTAAACAAAATACGATAATTATACATGATTATAAACGCGTATGTTACAGAAGGGATTTCAAATGATTTGAAATCTACCTATGTATGGTGATAATCATGTCAGAAAAAGTTGTCGGATTTCTCGTAGCCCCCCAAACAAATCATCATGATGCTTATGTGATTTAAGAAAATAACCATTAAGACAAAATTTCACAAGTCAATGTTGAACCTATGATAATATCACTGTATGACTTTGTAGTGGAAACTATTACTAAGAGACCATGTTGTTTTAACACCTTTTTAATAAGGAAGGATGGATGGTGACATTTCCAATCTATGATGATAATAAAGAGGGTCAGGGATACCAAGTGCATGATATGTCTCACTTCACTATGGTTTAATAGCAAGATCATGAACAATAGCAAATGAGATTGCTGATATCATGACCCAGTCTATGGTGATAATAGAAAGGAATCAGGTACATCAAGTGAAGGGTGTATCATATCAGTCTATGGTTTTAATAGAAAAGGTCAAGGATATGAGTGACCCTTTTTCATTTAAGACCAGAGAAGTTTCTCTCAACAGATAGATAGTTCCATCATTAAGTCGTATGTTTATGCTCAATGTTTCAGAGGAACATAAGACTTTATAAATACATCAACATGTTTCTAGCGACAAGGTCTAGATAGAGATAATTAATCATAAAATCAACACCTATTCCAAAAAAATATATAATGGGACCAGGCTAACTCACCCTAAGTGTTAAACCTTGCTAGAGAATCAGCGTGTCTCGGTGACTCAATGTAATCTCAACATCTGGTCTCAATGATGAGATACTTAGAGAGATTTAATCACATACAACGACATGCTTATAGGGACAGTAATGTAAAAGAAGTTGCAATCTAAATCTTGATAAGATTATCGTTGAATCATAATAATTACTTAATAAATATTATTAGAGATAATCCTCCTTGAAAAGAGATGTAGATGATGTTGTGACATTCACACAACACTCTTTTCAAATTAATAAATTATGTCTCGTTAGTACCAAAATGATTCAACTTGCTTTTGTTGTAAAAGAATGCATTGAGGTTCTGATAATATTACAACGAGCTTTCTTATTTGAGAGAGATAGTGTTTCAAGTTGGAGACAAAGTAGAGGTGGTGATGCATGAACTAGGATATAAGGTCTCTTATTACTCTAGAGTGGCGACACGGATCGAAGAAGAGAGGTGTGTGATTGAATTTGATAACCTCGTAAACACAAATAGGGTGATATTGCAACAAGAAACACATCTCAAACAACTAAGGCCATACCCACCAGTGGTAGTACTCAACTTAAAATAAAAAGATGTAGTGGATATGAGGTATAACAGTGGGTGGTTGTTAGGAAGGTTATGATGCAACAAACCACGTCAGGGTTTTTGATCAGAAGGATCTTTGAGTGCATCAGGAGAGGAGAAATGATTTTCAAGGGCATTAGTTGTAACTGAAATAAAGTATGTAATATATATAGGAAAAATTATGAATGAAAAACTTGTTTTGGATTTTATGTTTTTTTATTTCAATAGAAGCTATTAAAATTAATGAATAAAACATAGAAAATAGTCTTTAAGGAAACACACAAATAATAATACACATTGTAATTTAAAAGAAGGAAACCGTAGGACTTTGAAAGCATGTAGTGTTTACATCTTCATCCCAGGAGGATAGAGGAAGACCAACTTTAATAACCATTGTTCAACCAGCTTCAATTAGTCTCCTATTTATGCGTTCAACGATAACATTTTGCTCAGAAGTACGAGATGCACATAAGTTCTAAGAAATTTCCTTTTCATCACAAAAGTCCTCCGATGTATGATTTCTAAACTCAGTGCCATGGTCACTTCTAAGCTGCTTAACTTTTAGATCAAACTGGATCTCACATTGTTTCACTAAAGAGATTATTTCATCAACGGCGTCATTCTTGTTGCTTAGGAACATTACCCATGTAAAGCATGAATACTTGTAAAAATAACCAATGATTATCTTTTACCAGCACGATATGTAACGAGAACAGGGCCAAACAAGTCCATAGATAGAAGACTAAATAGAGCAGTGATGGATGAACACTGCTTTAGCTTGAAAGATGACTTAGTTTTCTTGCCCTTCTCAGACGTTAAACATAAATTGTCTTTACCAAATCTCATTTTAGGAATCCCTCACAATAACTGATTAGTTGCAATCTTATAAATGGTTTTGAAATCCAAGTAATGGAGTCTTGTGCCACACCTACTTCATATGAGATTGTAAATGAGAGAAAAAGCAACGCCTAAGTGACTTATCAGTGGAAAACATATCCAGGATGTATATGTTGTTGCAACAATTAGTAGTGAGCATACTGACATTCTTGGAGTCGATCACTTTTCCTTACAGTTTGCTGAAATTCAGTTCATAAGCAGCATCACACAGGTGACTAATAAAGATGAGGGTATGCTTTAGACCCTTAACATATAAAACATTAAAAAAATTACACAGATTTGCATTTGATGGTGCCATATCCCTTGGTGTGACCTTACCGTTGTCTCCGTCGGTGACTACAGGGTCTTTTTTTAACATAATCTTCTAGGAGAAACTTGAATCATGTCATATGCCTAGAACATCCATTGTCAAGATACCAAATATGCTCTTGACCCCGCATCACTAATAAACAATTTAGAGAACTTTATGAACCCATTTTGCAATGGGTTTAACAATTAATGATGTATCATTATTAAAAATTTCATAGCATTCGGTAAGGAGACAATTTAAGAAGTTATCCTTTTTAATCCATTTTTCATTTTAAATCTGGATATCATTAACTCTTTTTGAACCTTCCTCAAAAGTACACTTAACCACTTCATGAGAAGGGTCACCACATCTATAACACTTTCTAATACCTAATTTGTTTTTCTTTTCAAAAATAGGTTTACCAGATTTGTTACACCTAGTTTTCCAAGCATGTGAAAAACTTTCCTTTTCTTGAAATATATATATTTTTTTGTTCTAGAAACATATGAATTACTTTTAGTACTACTAGATGAGCTACGAGTGACATGACATCCTGATGAGGAACAATTTGAGTCATCAGTGTCAAAAAGCACCGAGTTAGATTCAATTTTATAATCACGGGTTGCACATTCAGGAACTTATGAAGAACATTATTAACAACATAAATTTCACCATTTAAAATAAGGAATTTAATCAAAATGGGAGTGTTGGGTTTCGTGTACTCACGATCAGGGTTGCAAAATTGTTCATTTTTTTTTTTGAAAATTCTAAATTAAAAAAAAAATTATTTTTTAAAGTTCTTTTTGTTAAGAGGATCTCTAAATACCATTCACAACAAAAAAAATAACTTTTTATATTGTGATATAATTTCTAAAAATATCTTAAAGACGGACAAAAATAATATATTTTATAATCGACAAATATTATGAGATTAATGGCTATTTTAATGGATAACAAAAAATATGGTAAATCATTAAATAAAAAGTGTAAATTTGTCATTTTTTTATACTTTTAAGTCTATTTGGTTAAAATATTTAATTTTCATTTAAGAGGCTAGCCAAGGAGCCTTCTCGTTGATCGAAGGCCCGACTTCGAAAGGGACCATGTGAGTTGGACGACAATTAGTCGGAGCTACTGTTGCCTCCCTGATGAGCCAATGATCGGACAAAACCATTCGACACGTATATAGGCAAGATTATTCATCAGGATAAGCATAATAAACGTACGGCTTGGCCCTTATCCGACAACAAGTGCTTCAGCTTATTCAATCCTTGAAAGTAGGCATTCGAATGTGGCACCGGTCGGAAATTTGACCCATGGTGGCTGACTATAAATTTACTTCAAAAGAAATTATGGGGCCTTTGTTTTCACCCAAGGGCTAAAAAATTAAAACTAAAACGTCGTGAATGGAGATGTCGGACACACATGGACGAGTTTAGTGTGTAACAAGATGGGTCACATGACCCACCTAAATTGAACAAGTTATATAGAAGACAATTTTAGGACCTATCTTTAATATTTTGAAGGACCTATTTAATGTGTTGAATAAAAAAATAATTAAAAAAATTATAAGCTACAGATAATAAAATTAATATTATATTTGGTGGCATGGAAGACTCCCGCATTAACTCCAAGAATTAAGGAAGTGGTTGAGGATTTTCCATTAGAAGTAGATGTTTCCCCTTCACAATCCTATGCCATGAAGTTTGTTGAGGCTTATATGGATTTATTCCAAGTATAAATTGGTTTTAGTAAAATAAATAGAGAAATGAACAATTTGACCACTTTTTATACATGTTAATGTGAATTTATTTTTTTATTTTTTATTTTTTTTTGAACTGGCCTGTTTCAACTCGGTTTTCTGATGTTAGTGAACCACATGGTTTACCATTGCAATCTCCATCTCACTCAGTTAGTGAACCACATGGTTTACCATTGCAATCTCGTAAAAATGACAATAAGGAGATGCTGAGGTTGTCTCTTGTTTACTCCACCTTATAGATTATCTAAAAAGAACACAGTGTTATGGATTTTTTGGAAAAAAAAAACGATAATTCTTATGACGAAAAATATTATAATTTATACTTCTAATTGGATTAAAAGTATATCCAAATTAAATATAACCTCCTCACGTAAGTTCTTGTTTATTCATCTATATTTTGCTCGCCGTTCAGGAAAAAAAGCATTCAAGACCACCGATTTACTCCCATGCCGACCTCAAAAAAACCACAACCGAAGAACTCCTCAAAAGTAGCACCGTTTGATCGATCAAAACCTCCCTTTGCTCACCAAATTTGTTGTGATAATTTTAATACCAACTATACAAGATTAACGAAATTGCTTTAAATCAATTCCCAAAAAATTCGTTATTAATTCACATGGAAAAAGAAAACAAAAACAAGAAGCAGACTAGGCACCAAAAAACAAATTAATAAGACATACTACACACTCCACTTCCGGATTATATATGGTCCTATAGACTATAGAAGTCAATAATAACTTTTGATTAATTCCTTGCTTATACAATTGATGCTTTGGCCTTCTTCATAAGCATATAAGCCTCAACAATCACATTAGAGGTCATCCGACGATAGTATAATCATCGTTTTACCAATAAGTAGAAGCATAATTACCTTCTTTATAGGTTTGAATTCCACATTCCCGACACTATATCTGAGAAACAGTTGCTCTATGAGGTGGATCGATCATGCGCTAGGTTGGTTTGATTGGATCACTGATCATGACACATCAAAGCCTCTTGAAGATTATCAATTATGTAAAGATCAATCTAATACATAAAAAGAATGGAATCGATATACCGATATACATATATATGTAGAAGAATAATTAAGAAGCATACACAAACATGATATACACTAACAGATTTCAATTCTTAAAAATCAAGCTGAAAAGAAACCATTAATGGTTGCAAGCCCGATCTTAGATTTAGGCTCGTGAACCAACTTGTTCAGACGAGGCCTCTTCAGCCACATTCCAGAAACCACTGTGGATGAAGAAAGCAACTCAAGATCTTCATGATCACTTGACATCTTCTTCATCATCTTTTCGTATTCTTCCGCCATTAACATCGCTATGTCTGCCATTCTCTTAACGATTTGGTTTGATGTAAGGGGAAGGAATTGTCAGGCTTGCTTTTATAGGGTAGATAATCAAATAGGAGTATGGATATGGATGAGGATTCAGTTTTTCGGTGGATTTGTTTGAGAGTGAAAAAGAGTTGTCGGTTTCGGATCCTTCACATAGGATTCTCGGTTCTTCTTTTAACATTTATTTATTTGTTAGTTTTCACTAACTTTCGTTTTGTAAATTCTGGATCCATTCCCTAGGAACTTTTAAGAGAAAAGATTAACATTATAATATTTATATTTGTCTTAAATAATATCAAAAGATAACATTAAATATAAGATAATATAATATAATGTTGATTTTAATTATATTAATCATTGTTCTAAGAAACAAAAGGAAAAGGACGGTGGATATGGATAAGGATGGCGGTTGGTGGTTTTATAAGTGGTTTTGCTTTTCATAATTCCAATTGGTTCTTCTCTTGTCCGATTTTAATCCGTGGACTCTCTAAATCCTAGTTTTCGAGTTTAATAAAAGAAGAGAAAAGAAAGTCAGGAAAGAAAAGAAGAGAAAGGAAAGTAAAACAAAATTTTCTTTTGTGTTTCCGAATTGGAGAGAAGTGGAAGGAAATTAATCATTTTGTTCTTTTTTTTCAAATCTATCCAAATCGGAAGGAAAATTTTCTTTTGTGTAAAACTTTGTTTTTGAAATAAATAGATAAACAACTAAACATGTTCATAGTTTTATGTTGGGTTTACCTTTAGGGCGTGTTTGGCACGGAGCTTTTGAAAGCGTTTGGGAGTTCTAGTTTTTAGCTTTTGACAAAACGCTTTAGTTTAAACAAAAAACTTCGTTTGGCAGTACGAGCGTTTAGCTTTTAGTTTAAACAAAATGCTCCAAATGTAAAAGTTACTTCATGTAGCGTTTAACAAAACGCTAATGAGCTTTTGAAATCAATTTCCATTATTACCCTTAAAAATATATTAATATATTTATTTATTTTTAATCAATTGTCATTTATGTAATTTTATATATTTCAAAAGCTACCGGCTACTTTTGTCAAACACTCATATAACAAATAAAAGCTACAATTTCTCACTATCAGCTACCCGCTACCAGCTAACCGCTACCCGCTTCCAGCTAATAGCTACTTTTGCCAAACACGCCATTAATCAACTGTTACCTTTATTTTTGCTCATATTGTATAAATTTGTGATTATTCTTTTATACTTAAAAAAAAAATGTAGTCATAATTAAATCGAGATTCATCTTCATTTTATTGCATACATTAGTATTTTTATATATAATAAAAATCAATCGGTTTATAAACAATTGCGGTTCCCAGAGGAATGTTTTCACACATGTAGGTAACTGGAATTCTATCAGGCCAACTTCTTTTTTTTCCACTGGGGGCGTATCTATAGCAAAATAAGGGCGTATCTATAGCATGCCTTTAGGTAGCGTTTTTTTTTTAATTTTTTTTTTTTTTTGAGCTCTTAGGCTAGCCAATACGAAAGTCATTTTACGTGTACGTACCTATGTGGCACCCTCCTTCCACGCATGAACACCGCCCCCAAAGAGCGTAGATGTCTTGTGGAGTGGTGTTGGTCACGAAAGATCACGAAGGCATTGATTGGTTGAGAGACATCTCTTGTTCTTGTTCTTGTTTTCTCTTCCTCACTCTCTATGAATGACCACTCCTCTTGTGCTATCATGGTGTTCGTGGAGTAAGGACGTGATGAGGTGGCGTGAAAACATGTATGCACACCTTGTAAACATACCGGATAGCCTTATGTTTGCGGGCATAAAGACATTTGAGAAAAAGACTGTTTGTTTTAGAAAACAAAAGATATAAAAAAGTCTTTTTAACATCTTTTTTCCAAATACAAAAAAATAGCTTTTGATTTTAAAAGATGTTTTATAAGTTCTAACCCAAGTGATATTTTTTTTCCACCCCAGTGTTTATCATTATTGTCACCGCTACCATCACCGTCACTGTCATTGTTATAGTTGTTGTCGCCGCTGCCGCCACCACCACCTCTACCTCCACCTCAGCTACCACCTCCGCCCCCACACCCTCACCTCCCCTACCTCTGCCACCACTTTCGCTACCTCCACCATCATCACCACCAACAACACAACCATCGCCCCCATTACCAATGCCAACACTATCGAGTTTTTTTTTTAAATTAAAGAAAAAACCAAACAATTTTTTTATTAAGACTAACGATATGAAAAAAAAAATTAGTCCATATTTTATTCCATAAACATAGAAAAAGTCTGAAGACATTTTACCTATTAAAAAACAATTATAACCTTACTTTTTGATTTGTTAATAAAATTTTCATTCTATATTATATTCAAACTAGAAAAGATTCTCCGGCGTTGCCGGGGTCGGAAGGTATTGCTTTGTAAAGTAAAGTAGCATGTT